ATATACATACACACACACATACACACATATACATATACACATGTATATACTACACATACACTTGGTTCGACTTCTACACATACCAGAGTAAGGGGTTCTATGCTGGAATGACAACCCATGATGGTGCCATCGCGTCTGCGGCAGATCATGATACCAAACCACTGTTCGGTTGCCTCGAAAATAGTTCTGTTGATCACATCACACGCTGAGTACATGAAGGGGTTGTGGTCCGTGCCACACAGCTGCGCATATGCCAATCAACAGTCAAGACGAAGTAGGTAGATTAATGGATGGATGAAACACCATGGCTGGCGAATAAACGACATGTAAATTAACGTCATGTGGAAGCGAACACGCCCTGCTCAGTGTACAAGACGACCTAGAGATGCACCATTTATGTTTAAAATAGGGCCTCAATCTGTTGAATGGGCTTGAGTTTATTATTTGTACACAACAAACCTCCCCCAATTGTAACAAGCAAAAAGGTATAGGCACGATTGTAAACAAGGATGCTACAAGGACCATACACACGATGCACACATCGCATATGGGTTCCAAGGGGACTAGCCTCTACCTCTATATATATATATATATATACATACATACACATACACACACACACATATATATATATATATATATATGTGTGTGCAAGTCAGTACAAAGATTTAAATTCTACATAACTATAATGATTATACACGACTATAAACAACTATAGATATATACATATATATATATATATATATATGCGTTATATATATATATATATACATATATGCATATATATCTACATATATATATACATTCATACTATATCGTCGCGTATCACACACACAACAATAGATTCCACACATCCATCACCAATAGAAGTACTACATACCTCAGGCACACGTTTGCCCTCTGGTCTCATGTGGCCAGTCATGAGCTTCCAGTGATGGTCTGCATAGACTAGTCTTGGCCCCAGCGTGAGCGTGTGTTCGTCGTGTTCCAGTATCAGCATGCCGTTATTCGCGGCGTAGCTGTCCGCTCGCAAGCGCTACACACACACACATGGCGATGGTATGTATGAGAATAGATGCATGAAATGATATACATGCCATAATATAAATATACATATATATGAAATATTATACATACCATACTATATATATATATGTAAAATGAGCCGGAAAAGAAGAGAAGCCTGGTGGTGTGCAGGTATTGCAATGTGTGGTTTAGTGTTTGTGAGTGAAGCTGCTTCATATGAGAAAACAGATACGGGACTGACCAATTAACACAAACGCCATGCGACACCCAACTGCAACTTATGAGCTCTCATCCGTCACAGATAACCATAAACCCTAAAACCCAAATTAAAGTATCATAGACAATACAACAGCAACACAGGGTGTGTTGTGAATGTGTGTGTGTTTGTACATACATGTGTGAATAAATACACTGAGGGTGTGCTGTGCTGTGCATGTGTGTACATGCGTGGTGTATAAATACTTGTGTGTGCGTAGTGTAGAAGACACGTGCATGTGTGTGTGTGCGAACATGCATACGCATCCGTATAGATATATGCTGTACGTATACAATTATATATATATGATATAGGTATACGTTTATATCTCTGCTGCTGTGTTTATACGTATATATATTTGCTGTAAATATAGGTATATATTTACATATATATGCTGTACATCTACGTATATATATTTGCTGTAGATTTACGTTAATATCTGCTGTACGTAAATGTTTATATATATGCCGTACATACTGTACGTTCATGTCAATATTCATGCCGTAAGTTTACGTTTATAAACATATGCATTAAAGCATGCGTGTGATACACCCATTCACCTATATCTATCTATACTACGCCATGTATCGTATTATACACACCGTCCGCTTGTGGATACGCTTTCTATCTATACTACGCCATGTATCGTATACACACCGTCTGCTTGTGCATACACTTACTATCTATACTACACCATGTATTGCACATCCCTCCACCCAATTCTATCCATACTACACCATGTATCGTATACATACCGCCTGCTTGTGCACACACTCGGCCTCCTGCATCATGCGCTTCTGCTGCTGTATCTGCCACTTGAGCTTTGCGTTGTCATTGACTGTGGTGCGAATGAACTCCGTCGCCCCATTGAAGATCTCGGCTTTGGTGCGTTTGATCTCGCCGTCCAAGGCAGGAACTGCATTCTTCAGATCCTCCAATTGGTTGGCCACCTGGATTAGGACAAGATGATGGATATATATATATATATATATATATATATATCAACATATAAATCTGTGTAATATATATATATATCCTATACACTATACTATACTATACATATACATATCGATCTGCCTCCATGGTAGCCTAACATAAACCCCAATAGCTACACCCCACCCCACAGTCCCCCACCTTGTCTCGCCAGTTCTTGTCAGACACTCTCATCTTCCGCGGTGCTTTGGTGATGGCGCCTGTGTCCACCCGACCACTCGCGCCTTTGATCTCCTTGGCGGTTGGTTTCTGCGGGGGTGTCATGGTGTCTAAAAGGTGTCAGCGGGCGAAGGTGCGGGGGTTCTTGTCATATATACTCAGCGCGCACAAGTGATATATATATATATATACCAATGCATACGTCTTGTGAGTATTTTGTATCAACACAAGTCTATTTCGTAACACCACGAGTAATATACACATACCAATGCATGTGTACTGTAAGTACTTTGTATCACACAAATGGTTATCGTCTGAAAGACAAGATTCCCCCAGAGCAAACCCCTAAACCACCTACTGCCACTGCTTACACCCTAGGTCAACCGACTAAACCCAAGTAGTGTGTTTAAAAGGTTGACCCATGCATGGTGTGTGCACCACGTGTTGTGTTAAAATAGACGCAGCAGGTAGTGCTGTGTTAGGCACAGGAGATCTCGTAAGACTACGACCCATGCATTGTCAGAGCAACACACCTGCTGCCATCAGGCAGGTACTACAACGTTACTGATATAAGCCAGTTCGGTAGTGTACCGTACGTATACAAACACACATAGAGCTTTCAGTAAGTACGCACTTATGTATTTGTATATGCATATACATACGTTGTTATCATTAACCTATATGGTCGTGTATATGTGTCTGTATCTTATGTATTGCATGATATATTTATATAGTAGCGTGCCGGCTGCACATTGCTAGTACAGCCGTATCGATTACTAAAGCAATTTAATAAAAACGATACACCATTTCATATCCTGCAATGCATACAGCCCACAGAAAGCCCATTCCATACCACCGATATATAAATATATACATACATCCATACTTACATACATATATATAGATATGTATATATATATTTATATATATACATACATATATATAGGTATATAGATATATATGTTGTATCAGTATATTCTGCATCATATCTGTTCATAATACACTACATCTACATAAATAACTAAATAGCCAATCAGACAGTCCTATATCTCCCCATCCCACCAATCTAAAGACCGTTGCTAGGCAAAACCGCTCCGCCTACCTCCAATGCCCACCTACCCGTTTGCCGCCCTTCTTCGCAGTCGCCTCTGCAGCCGTTGCATCTGTAGCCGTGGCTGTGCCTTTGGATTTGCCATTGGTTATGTCTGTTGTGGTGGTAGTGGTAATGTTGGTAGTGGTGATGGTGTTAGTAGTGGTTGTTGCTGCTGTGGTTGTTGTGGTAGTGATTCTATTCGCTTCGTCCTGTGGTGTGTGTGTGTCGCTGCCGGCGTTGTTCGTAGACGCCGCACTATCCTGATGCAACAGCCTGTCCTGGGCCAGATCCGGTCCTCTCGCCCCGTTTTCCAGGTCAGGGCCGGCCGGCCCTTTCGCATCGTCACCCAGCTCCACCCGCTCGCTGAGGCTGTCGGCCAGTACATTGATGGCATCCTCCCCCGTCATCCCAAAGGTCTCTTTGAGGATGTCCTCGTATTCCCCATTGGCCAACCCTTGGTACGTGTTGAAGGCGCCCCAGTTGTACGCCCCATTGACCGTGCCACTGGGCGTGTGCTCGTACGCACTCGCACCCACGTGACTGTCTAGGCCACTCACGAGCTCTGTGTTGGTGTGTGTGTTGGGGTGTGTGTTTGTGGCGCCAGAGCCGTCGCTCGACTGTGTGGTGTGAGACTGCAATGTGTTGGCGCTGTGGGAGTGAGACAGAGACGCGTGTGTGTGGTGGGTGTACATGTTGTCTGTGGGGTGGGACTGTGGCTGCGGGTGGGCTCTGTATTTGGTCATGTTGATAGCGGGTAGTGTGATGTTGTTGACCAATCCGTTGAACGCTTCCTCCATCTCCGTATCGTTCTGGGGTAGGTAAGCAGAGTCGATGTATAAATTATCTTAGTGTTAAAAGAGTCGATAAATTAGTTTATCTCAGTGTGGGTGTTAAAAAAGTCGATGAATTAGTTTATCTCAGTGTGTTAAAATAGTCGATGAATTAGTTTATCTCAGGGTGTCAGTATGGCCAATAAATTAGTTCACACTATTGTGTTACAACATTCGATGGGCCAGTTGTCTTGATAGAGTACTGAGACTACGCACAATTGATATGCGAGATGCTACGACAGAATTTTAGGGTTTTAGGGTCTTAGGCCTAATCTAAATACAGGTCGCACATCAGCACAGACGCATGCACACTGAGACATGACTTACAAATACACGACACACAGAAACAAAGAGGAATGGGCAAGTGTGTAGATAGAAGGGTCAAATGAAGTCATGCGCACACCACAGCATGCCTGCTGCAACTACGTACACAGGGGCAGATGTATGCAATTGACATACACACACAAACGCACACACATACACACACACGCACGCACACACATACACACGCACGCACGAACACACATACACACAGACACGCAGATGAAACGTACTGAGATATGCAATTCCTATGTACAAACGCGCACTATCGAACACATGGTACGCCTCATGCGTAATATATGCACACTTCACACGCACACCCTTGCACACACATGGACACACATGAATGTAATTGCACACACACGCACACACACGCACACACATGAATGTAATTGCGTAGAAAGACTTCCGATGGGCTGAAGGTTCGCAACAGCACGTAAATGCACAGAATATATACACAGAATAACTTCGTATATCAAATAGATATACTAATATATATATATATATATATATATATACTATACTATATCACATAGATAATAATGCATAGATAAATACATGCAAAATCCATCACCAGCGTGTGAGAGTGTGGTCCACAGCACGTACACATACGCCAATGAAGCTAACAGATCATATCTCCTGATGTGAGGGAGAGTGATACACACATCATGTTGTACTATACACACACTAACCAGTGTGTTTGTACATACACGTACACATACACATTCACATACGAGTACAACAATGGAGATAACATACCATATCGTCCAATGAGGTGAGGGTTGGAAAATTTGTTGCGGTGTCATCGATTGCCATGCCTGTGCTATCATTGGGCGGCTTTCCGCCAAGCGTTCGCCTTGCCACCTGAAGAGAAGTCGATTGGTGAGGTTATATCTATTGCATATGTACTGATATGTATTATAAGTATTGTATGTGAGATGTATATATGGATAAGTATGGCTATGGATGGATATCCTTATCTATATATATATATATATAAAGTATATATATATATATATAATATATACATATAAATACATATACAGAAAGTCAATTGATACAAGGTTGCTTAAATGAGATATGCATATCTCGGTTAAATCGATAGTTATCGAGACAATACAATTATAATCATGAAGTCAGGTTTAGGTTACATCTATCGCTAGGTTTTTCACACAAGCTTGAATATTTGCATACACCAATTCATGTATATATTCAAATACGTTGGATTATCAGGCCTAATATCATTCCACTATGAGTATATATATATATATATACATATACATATACATATACATATACAAATACATATATATAGTCGAACAAACAAAGACATACATAGCCATCACCCACGGCAGACCACATACAAGCAACCACCAGTGCACCTACCCAGTCGACTATCGTGGGGTACTTGTACGCCTCCTTGAGCATGCACAGACTGCCCTCCGTCAGTGAGTCCACATGGCCCGCCCCCCTGTCATACCCCATCGCCCCATCACTCGCGTTATTCGCTGCACTCCCACTGGCGTCTATACTCAGTCGCCCCAGGTGCAGTTGAGTGCTGTCTGTGTCGTTTGGGTGCACATCGGCCCCGTGTCCCATAATTTCGGCCACTGTCCGTTCCTGGCACTCCTCAAAGGTGCAGGACCGCTCGCCCTGAGCTGCGCTCGGCTGTGTTTCGGCGATGGTGTACTGTGGGGCTGCACCGTTTGTTGGCTGTGTTCCAGGGGTAGCGTTAGCAGCGGTAGCATTAACCGAGGTAGTACTAGCACCCGTCTCCTGCTGGGTGTGGGGGCAGTGGCCATAGTCCGTGGCATTGCTGCTGCGGTGGCTGTGGCTGTTGCTGCGGCTGTTTGTCTTGCCTGAGCTGCACTCAATCGCCGAGTCTTCGGGTGTGCGGACGGTGTGCCCCACAGACCCATTGGCTGACATGTCTAATGTCCCGTGCGAGTGTGTGTTGGCCAGTGCCTGCGGCGTGCCTGCGCTGCCTTGCGGAGAGGTGTGCGTGTGCGCGTGTGCACTGGTTGGTGGGGCTGTGGTGCCGTTGGTGTGTTGTGTGGTGTGTGGGGTGTGGTGTGTGGGGTGTGTGTGGGGACTACCGCTCATGCGCTGTCCATTGGCCTTGTCTTTGGTTTGGTGTTGCATGAACAGGGTTGCCAGGTGTGCGTGAGTTGCCTCCCGTTCAGCCAGGCTGTGGCTGGATAGCGGGTCGTGTAAGTGTAGTGTGCCGTTGAAAGAATTCTGTGATCCGATTGGTGGTAAGGTGCTAGTCATAGAATGCTGTGATCCGATTGGTGGTAAGGTGCTAGTCATAGAATGCTGTGATCCGATTGGTGGTAAGGTGCTAGTCATGGAATGCTGTGATCCTATTGGTGGCAGCGTGCTCGTGTTAAAAAGCTGCGTTGCTATTGGCTGATGTGGTGGTGGGTTGTAGTGACCGGCCATCTCCGCATGGGCTTTGGCATACGGCGACGATTTCTACGAATGGGAAGAACCAGATTTACAACACGTTATAATGTGTGCAAAAGTATACGACAAGCAAGGTAACCATGGCCACAGAGGAAATGTGGGTTCGAAGATATGGCAGACATATGCGAATCACTCAAGCTATATCTTCAACTCGTGTCTATCTAAAAATCTATTTATATCACGGGAACGTCTACAAGTATAGGTATATGAATATACGAATATATGAATATATGTATATAATATATATATATATATATATATATGTCTATATATATATATATACATATATTACATATATATATATATATATATATAATATATATATATATATATATATATATATATATATATATAATATACCATTAATANATAA